CCCCCCTGTGTCGCGCTTGCTGCCACAAGTGGCCGGACATCACATGCAAAGCGGCAGCCTCAAAGCCCTCCTTTATTGACCTGTTTTTTGGCTTAAAGGGCATGCGTTGTATCCGGGCTGCTGAGAGAGCCGCCGGCAGCGCCGTGCAGTGCTCAGGCTGCCCCAGCAGGGCTGAGCGCCCCCCACACGGTGAAATCGGGGCGTTTGGACGGCCGGTCTCAAAAAAAAAAAAAAAACAGCAAAATCAGGCTGGTGCGGGGTGACCTCGAGAGGCCCCCAAAGTCCCCGGTGCACCCAGCAGCGTCCCTGAAAGCCAGCCTTCTGCAGGAGCTTGGGTGCTTGGTCGGGCTGGCAGACAGCCTGGGGGGTTTGTGGGCCCCCAGCCCTACTGCAGCTTGGGGTCCCGGCTACCCAGGTACCACACCAGCCCTGGAGGCCTGTTCAAGGCGGGTTGGAGGGCTCGGGGCAGGCAGCACAGCCACAGGCCATCGTCCTCGGGGTTTGGGGACCACGCAGGCAACACAAGGGGAGCAACCTCCCAGCCCCTGCAAAAGCTGGAGCTGCTCCAGCTCTCAGAGCAGATCCACCCCCTGCCCTTGGAGCTCATTGCACATGTTTCCACCTAAGTGGGACAACACCAGCACAGCCTTGCTGCGATAGCCTCGCCAGGATGGCGCCAGCGCGGCCTTGCCGGGACGGCAGCATCAGGACGGCACCAGGATGCTAGCCAGCACCGAAATGGCCTCGCCAGGACGGTACCAGGATCAGCCTTGTCAAGATAGCACCAGATGGCCTCACAGGGATGGCCTTGCTGGAACAGCACTGGGTGGCCTCACTGGGAATGGCCTTGCTGAGATGGCAGCACTGGACAGCACTGGGATGGCCTCGCCAAGATGGCACCGGGACCGGCCTCGCCGGAGGAGGCACTGGGATTAGCCTCATTGGGACTGGCCTTCCTGGGATGGCAGCAGGATGGCCTTGCCAGGACAGCAATGTCGTGATGGCACCCAGATGGTCTTGCCGGGATGGCCTTGCACAGAGCATCAGGATGGCCTCTCCAGCACCCGCTGCCCGTCCCGGTCCCCTGTTCACCTGGCAGCAAGGGCTGGCCTCTGCGGGGCAGCACGAGTGGCATTTCTGACCCCACAACCAGTCCGTTCAGGGCTTGGGAGACCCCCCGACCTCCTCTCCAGCCCCACTTGGCCTTTGGGTGTTTCTTGAAGGCCCCCAAAGGCTTTGGCCGCTGCCGGCATGGGGTGCAGGGCACTGGGCATGTGGGATGGAGGGCTCGGGGGGTTCTCAGGCACGTCGGGATGCTGGGGGCCCCGCTCGCCGGGCAGAGGCACTGTGCCCTTTGCGCCAGGATGGCCTGAGCAAATCGAATGGGTTTGCTCACGAGTGGCCTTTTTTTTATTCACCTTTTCTGGGTTTTCTTACCTGGATTTTGCCATCGGACCCCAGCAGCAGGA